TTCTCCTTCTCCTTGCGTCCCCCTTCCACTTCCTCCTCTTGCTGCACTACCCCAAACCTACTATCAAGTCCTAAGAAGCGGTGCCACATTGTGCTAAGAGGTCGAAACGCCTTAATAGAGCGCGAGCTGAGATGCTTGACAATGTCAATCAGCACACTATAGTTCGCTAAGCCCATGACTGTTGTCCGCGAGTTTTGTAGCTCTACTAAGTCCTCGCCTTCTTCGTCCACCTTAGCTTCTTTAATCTCCCTAACATTGTCCTGATACCCTTTGCTAAACAAGTGCCTAACTGCAACTCGCCTAATGCTAACAGCTGTGTGCTAGTAGTCCTGTGTGTGTAGCTCAACGCCTAGTCTCTTGCCTGTCTCTTGCTTCAGCGCCCGCGTCAGATAGTCCGTTGACCACGGCCCTTGCTCGTTCGCCCAGATGTAGTCGATGCGTCCTTCGCCGAGCACCTGCACCCGGAGATACTCCTGGAATGGCCGCAAGTATACCAAGTAGATGGCCATGACCTGCCCCAGCCGCGGCGGAAGAAAACGCGGAACCACCTTTAGTCTATCCCACTGCGACTAAGACTTGTGATAGCAGACAACAGTCATAATTTAGCCGTCTGCCACAAAGATATTGCGGTCCTGCAGCAGCCCGTTACAAAACCTCATTAACAAGATCTCTGGCCCTCGACCCGGCTGTCCAGACGTCATGTGCACGCACACTAAGAGCAGCGTTAAAAAGCGGTTAACCTGACGCAAGTACTGCTCAACTCGCTTAATATGCCACTTTCTGTGATGCTTTAGCCTACGGCCTTGCGCGCTCTGCTTAACCCGGGTTAGCATCTAGTATAGCTTGTCTGCTAGACTGTTCTCGCGCTGCTCTGCAAACCACTAGCCTTGCTGCGTGAAAGTTACTTCGTCCACTACGTGCGCTAGATCAATGGCAAACCGCTCTTTAGCCTCTTTAAGCCATATTAGCTCCTGCCACAACATCTCCTCTACTTTAACTACCATGTCCTGAGCCATCTTGCGGAACTGGCTAATGTAGATGGGTTAGCTGTTTAAGTAGAAGATCTTCTTGTCCTTAGACTAGTACGCGCTGCCTGAGTTGCTGTCTGTCAACGCAACATGCTTTCTATACGCCAGCAAGCTAATTACTTAGCTTATTAGACTGTACAAACTGTTAGCTAGATACTTTACTCTCTTAGCTAGGAAGCGCTCACGGTCCTTGTTAGTCTGCTTGCTGCGCTCAGCTGACGGAAGCAGCTTCTCAACGCCCAACACGCGTATGCAGTATGCTACGCCGGCGAGCATGTATGAGTAGTGTTTCGCCCTGCGCAGTCGCCGGGCCGTGGCATCAATGCCAAGCACGGCCAGAAAGTAGACAAACCCGCTGCTAAACAGCTAATCGCCTACTAGCTTAAAGATAAATGACGTAAGCACGTTAAGCAGCGCGTCCTCTAGCTTAACCCTTTTGCTGCTAGGGTCACCTAAGGCCTCCTACAACGCCAACGCCAGCTCCTTTTGCTAGCCCTTCTAGCAGAAGAGCTCGCGTGCGTCCTTCATCGTGTCTACCTTCGTCCTGCGGCGGTGGATAGGGTGATGTTGGTATCGTCGAGTGGTGATGTCGCTGTCGTCGCCGCTGGCACTACCGTCCTCACCTTCGTCGGTCTGTGCGTCGCTGCCCTCACTACTACTGTCGTTTTGCCTCATCATCCTTGCCTGCTCGTTAGCTACAATGCGTAGCAGGTAGCAGACGAACTTGACCATGTATCCGGCATACTGCGCCTGACTCTCTGGGTTCTGCAGTCGAGCAAGCGGCCGCTGGTCGGGCTCTATCCGCTTTGCGCTCCTCAGCCAACGCCTCGTCTCCCGCGCGAGCGTTGACAGCCTAGCCACACTCCTCTTAATTAAGGACTCTACAAGATTCGCGGCCTGCTTTAGCCGTACCTTGTCTCGCCCTGGTAGCCGGATCTGGTGTGCGAGATGGGCTAGGTTGCGGTTGGCGAGATGCTCTAGCCATCCTGTGCGATTGAACCAGCCGGTCTTGTCTGTTTTGGCGGCCTGCGCGTCCATGACCTGCGCTTGACCTTCAAGCGCCTCTTGCGTCGCCTTGTATTCTTCTAGCTTGGCCTAGACTTTGTCCGCTACATCGCTAGGGGTAGCAGCTAGTGTGCTGTTGTCTTCTTCTTCCTCCTCCAGGCCTGCGTCTACGACAAAGTATTGTAGCAGCCCTCCTCTGCAGAAGAAGGTCTGAACCCTAACCTTCTTGTACAGCTGGCTTGTGTCCCCAACCCAGGCAGTGGTGTGCGCGTCTGCCCAATGCTTCCGTAGCGCGTCCTGGTTGATGCTGATATACTCGCACCCCCCCTTAGTGCATTGTAACGCTGCTAGCGGCCTCCCAAGCTCTTCTAACGCGGGACTCCTAGCCGGAGGGAGCTGCACTTGGTCGGGCTCCCAGACCCAAGTGTACCTGCTGCAGATCTGGTTGACAATTGCCACCCTCTCTCGCTTAGGGACACAGTGGTATTTAATAAGATGTCCGTCAAGACTCTAGATGCCCGTGTGATGGTCAAGACAGACCAGCACTCTGTACCTAGGCAGGAACCGAAAGCAGTCCGCTGCATTGTCTGCTGTAACCCCTTGTTCTACAGGCGCGCACTGCCTTCTGTCTTTTCCTCCTCTTAGCTGTCTTTTTTGGCCTCTTGTCATGGTTAATCTTAATAGTAGTTATGGTGGTTGTGGTGGTAGTCTGCAGGTTGGGTGGTAGCGCGGCGCGAACTGCAGAGCGTGTGCGCGAACTGTGCGCGAACTGTGCGCGAACTCCAGAGCGTGCACGCGAACCGCAGAGCCTGTGCACAAACTATACAGCTTGTGCGCGAACTGCACACACACTGCACATATCCTACACATCTACTTTTTTATTAAAACAACACTTATAAAGGCTAGATTATGTTG